CACACACACACACACACACACACACGAACCAAATAGATGATGTTGCTAAATATGTAGATTCTCCTCCAGTGACCTGGTCTGAAGCTCTGCCAGGAGCATGGCGCTTGAGACAAGGTAAGAGACTGGAAGGTATTTAAAGTGCAACTGGGAAAGACGTGCCTCCTCAAAGGAGATTCTATTGTGGTGTTCTGTTGAGTAAGAATCAACTCATAGCTGATCCTTCCGCGAGTTTTCAGAGGCAATAAATCACATGGGAGGTCCATCCTTCTCCCGCTGAGTAACTAACTAGTGCATTTGAACTATGCGCCTTTGTGATTGCAGTGACGCGTTCTTACCACCAGGCCCCCAGAGAATTGTAGGAGAAGGATGAGTCATCTCCTTTGGGATCTGAAACCTCAGAAACCCAGTGGAGGGTCAGCTACAAGTTGACCTTAGATACAAATTCAGTAAAAAGAGTAAGATGTCAAATATGCTATCATTTGTGCAAAAAGAGTCTGTTTATACACTTGAACATGCCTCACTTATCTTCAAAAGGATAGTCGAGAAGGTATTAACCACAGTTGACTTTCCAGCTCGGAACTGGGTATCTGGAGGGGAGGGAACTCACTTTCATTCGATGATCTTTCTGCATTTTGGATTTTGTGCCTGCATTTTGAACAGCTGCAATGTTTCATATTTAAAACAAACAAACAGCAATACAGTTAATAGTTAATAGTTTGCAAAAGGTAGAGAGAGATGTATTTGAAAAGAGAGAGAGTCTTTTTTCACTGAAGATGCTAGAGCCCCCACAAGTGATCTGTGAGAGCATTGGGTAGTCAAAGAAGACCTGTCTTCAGCCTGTACCACTGGGAACCCTGGACGTTTGCGCAAATCCCTGCTGCCCTGAGTTTCAGGCTCTGTATGTGGAAAATGGGTACAAGGACTTGGTAGACTTCTGAGGATGTCAGGGGAGGAGAAGTGTGACTGTGATTTGCCAAATGCCAGGCACCAGTCACATCTGGAAGGTCACCGAAAACCTGGACTTTGTAATTATCTCCTTCAGAAGGAGCCACTGAGGAGGAGAAGCTGCTTAGTCGGACGATGATGAAATACTGGGCTAACTTTGCTCGAACTGGGTAAGTGAACTTTAAATTTCCCCTGTCCCAGTATCTTTGAGGAGAAAGGTCTGATGCATCTCCCTTCTCACTTCCAGGAATCCCAACTGGGAAGATTTGCCTCTCTGGCCTCCCTACAATGAAACCGAAGAATACTTACAGCTGAGTTTGAATATAAGGGTTGGAGAGAAACTAAGAGAGTCCCAGCTAGAATTTTGGTCAAATACCCTGCCCATGTTAATGTCTACTTCTGGAACCCACTGTGTTGTTTTTCATTCCTTGAGCTTCCTTCCTCTGATTTTACTGTTCTTTTTTATTTCTGCTCCTTGAGAAGTTACTGTTCCTTTCTTTGGCAATTTCATCCATAATCTTTAGCTTCCTTTAAAGTTTAACTGCGTTCTGGAGACCTTTGTAGAAGAAGCAAATTTAGCTGATGTTTTAGGAATACAGGGGTTCTCTTGATGAGTTCAGTTTGTTGGCTTTTGGGTGTTTTTGGGGGTATTTTTTTTGTTTTTTTAATACACACACAAAAAAATGCAGGTTGGATTGTAAGTTACCAGATTTTTCTCAATAAATCTGGAGATGGATTGGTCTGTTAGCTGGCGTAATAATGATCTTGTTACTCATTTAAAATAAAATCAGAATGTACAACATGACCAGGGAGGAATTTAATTCTGTGCTACCAACACTTCCTGCTCCAGCACCAGAGATAAAGTAGATTTTCCACTAGAAACGGTGTATATGTGTGTTATCTAAAATATGAGTCTCCCACACAGTCACAACTTAGGGGGCTGTCAACCATGAGCCACAGACTGATGTCCTTAAGGTGAAAGTTGCTGGCGTGGAACAGGATCTCATATTTGCTTTAGTCATTCCAAGGAAATCTCTTGGTTAAGAACCACTGTTTTCCACTTTTCAAGAGGATCTCCAGTGACCTGGTTAAATATCTGTCTGATGAGTATGTGTCAGAATTAGCTTAGCCATCAGTTTTCCAGAGGGTTGGGGCTCATGACTTGATGAGGAAGCAACTTTGGGAAGTGAATGGTCTTATTTGCAAAAGAATTTCCTGTTGTTCTTAGGTGCCATCAAGTACGAGTCCTGGTGACCCTATGAACAACAGATCTAAACACTGTCCTATTGTACAATATCATCCTCATCATCTCAGACATACTTGAGTTCATGGCAGCAGTCACTTTGTCAATCCATCTGGTTAAGGGTCTTCCTCTCTTTCCACGACCCTTCACCTTTCCAAGAGTGAGGAAGGAAAAGCCTACTTAACAGGTTCAAAGTATGGAAGACGGAACTCCCATCCCTTGTACTTGTAAGAGCTTTCCCAATGCAAGATTAAAAACGGCTCTAGCCCCTGCTCGCTATGGAAAGTAGGTTGGAACAGAAGGCCTGGGAGAGCTCTACTCATTTGGATAGAAGGTATTTTGGGTCGTCAGCAAGCGAAGCGATGAAGTTGTTCCTATCATTTCCAGACATTGCCAGGTGGTGGGGCTCAAGAGCCTCCTGGCAGAAGGGAGGGTACATGTTACTTCACCTGTCTCTTCAGCTGATGCTCCCTCCCACCCTCTTCCTCATTCTGCATCTGATTTTGTTCTCAACAATCCCGCCCCCACCCCCAAATTTCAGGAAGCAAGAATTATCATCCACAGCTGCCTTTCTTTGTTTTTCAGTGTCTTTGCAAGAAAGAGACGTGTTTCCCAGTCTGACCAGTCCACCAACTATGTCATTGTTAAATTAGTCTTTCTTTGGCACAGATCTCCTTTTGTAAAGGGTCATATTATTTTACGTACTTAGGTGTGTATTACATTTCACCATCACCTCAAATTCTCCATTATTCTAAGAACATAAAACACATAACCACTCTCTTACTTGAAATTAAGAATTTTACTCATTTACAGAGATTTTCTTTTTCCGATGATTTTGGAGATGACTTACCAGGTTAAACCAAGACAAAAAATGCAAGGGATGAATCTCATTAGCTTCAGCCTGCAAGTTTCCTAACATCCAGCAGAGGGCAGTACTTTAAAAGAAGAAAAACCCAAATCAGAAGTTTTTGGAGAATAGTGATGTGGCAGAAACCCGATACCATTTATTGTTTTCTTTTCTCTATCTGTAACACTTAGCAATGGAGAAGAGTAAAGTCAATTACCTAAAAAAATCTAATTGAAACGACAAAACCCATAGGAATCTCAGAGACTGGAAACAACAGTTTTTGTTTCTTATTTTGTTGCCTTTGTTTTTCCAGTTTTGTTTGTATTTTCCCATGAAGTTCCTGGGAGCTCACCTCAGCTGGACGTAAACGGACCTCTTCTTGTAGGGCACCCTATACCTTTTCTGCTTCCCACAGACACTTAACACTCTAGATCTTTGAATTTAAGCTCGAAAGCAAATCCTCCTCTCTTTCAAACTTTGTTACTGTTGTAGTGTGCCATAGAGTCAGAACAGACTCATAGCTGACCCTTCAGCAGGTTTTCAGAGCCACTTAACTGCACAGGAAGAAATTCCGTAACCATTTCCTATGGAGCAGCTGGTGGATTTGAACCAGGTGCTTTTGGGATTGCAGCGTGGCTTCTTACTACTAGGCCACCAGAGTTCCCTTTTCAACCTTTCCTATCTCCTAGTTTCCCCGGGAGCAAAGGTGGCGCACAGAGTAACATGTGTGCTCAGAGGCCGAAACTGGCCTGTTGCCTGCCTGGTGCTGCCAAAATAATCTCTCTGCAGCTGAGAAAGACTTGTTTGGCTCGTGACTTCTTCAGGAATGTCTCTGAGAAGACTAGGGTGGAGAGGCAGGAGAGGCAGAAACTCCCCTGGCCACTTAATTGTGTCTAAATACAAGGAAATTGAAAGGCAAAGAGGTGGTGGTGCGCCTTGTATGGATTGGATCTCAAGCTGGGATTTACAGGATGGACAGGAGGAGACGCAAAGTGCAGTAGCTGTCGTGAAAGCGTGTGCAGTTGCGAGGATGCTTGGCTCATTGACAGTGTGGCTGATGTTGGCGAGGTTGTTAAGGAACATCCTGCAAAGTTGTTATTGCTGTTAGGTGCCATCTAGCTGACTGCAACCCATAGCATTCTAGTACCTGAAGGAAATTTTCACCATCGCCAAAGCATGGGAATATTACAAATGTCTGACTACAACTGAATGGATTGAAAAATTGTGGTATATTCATACAATGGAATACTACCCAGCTTTGATTTCTCTGGGTTCTAGTACAATATTCAGAGTCTCTTCTGAAATCCACTTTGGTCTTGTATTTTTTTTCCTCCTAAGTCATTGCAACCTACTCCCCTCCCTCACCCCCTGCTTTATTCATAGATGATATCCTTGATACCACCTCACAGTTCAACTGGTCTTCATTCATTAGTGTTCAGTTTCTCAAATCAGTACTTGAAATGGTTTGTACATTCAGGTAGCATAGACTCTAGGACCTCATCTATGTGTTGTTAATAAGACAGTTTGGACTCTGCAAGATACCAGTGGTCGAGGGGGCCTGGAGAAAGAACCTATGGACTGATTCATCCTTCCCTCAGACCCACATGTACTCCCCTGTGATGTGCTCCTGGCCTACTTGTACAGAAAATTTTGTACATAGAATAAACAATGATCTGTTGCAGAAGGGCTTCAACTCCCCTCAGCAGCCAAAAATCTCACTAGGTATGCTAGAGACCTCATTCCCCCAATGACAATTTGAACTGAGCATTGAGACCAGAATTCATAAACCTTGAGATCTAGGGAAACTTTGATGCAACCTCATGGGAACTTAGGGCATTTATTCCTGCTGAGGCTTGTGTAAACCCATAAAGGCCCAAGCCTTCACATGCAGATGGCTGAGCTGTCCTTGGACCAGAAAGCTCTCCTGCCACCCCTGGTTCACGTTTGGGAGGTTCCCTTCCAGAGTAAGTCCCTTGGTCCCTTTAAATTACTTGGTGGCTTCTGCCAGCTTCCACTTTCGAAAACACCCTTCACATGTCATCAGTCTCAGGACTAAAGCCTTTCAGTGGATATGCTGCAATGAGCATGTGGTGTGTCTACTTGTTTGCATTGCTGTTTTCATGAAATGAACACAGATCTGCTTTGGAGATAATGGCGATTCATAAAGAAAATCACATGAATTTTTTTCTTTTGTCCCCTTGTGCATTTGAAAGTTATGTTTACACTATACCGTGGTCTATCAAGTGTACAAAAGCTATGAGAAAGCTTTAAGTACGTTGAGAATTATGGAAATGTGACACAGAAGAGAGGAAGTAAGCACAGGCTGTTGGGAAAACTGTTAATCTACTTGGTCAACGCAACATTATCATAAATCTCCAGTTTGTGAATGATGTGTCTGTGGTGCACAGTAAGGTGCAGGGCAGTGAAACGAGGTGTGCATGTTATTCAGTATGGGACAAGTACTGTATCACTTCACTGATGTGCAATATCTAGATGCAGAAAAGGAATAGAGATCAAAGTTACTAGTGTATACCAAGGGTGGGAGAGTTTATATAGTTTCTATTTATTTATAGATAGAAAGTTGGGCAACTATTATTAGTAAGATTGTATACCATGATCCCTGTAATTAATACTATTAAATTGTGGACATGAATAAAGTTGAATGTTCACATACACACACACACACACACACACACACACACACACACATAGAATGAAAAATTAAAATTATAAATGCAACTTTAAAAAGTTGTAGACCTTTTTCAATGTTCCTCCGTGGTCTTTGAATAAAGTACAGTCTTTGGTTTAGCATTTAAGTTTCCTGTCTTCTTACTGACCTTCCTAGTCTACTGACCCCCGTTAGAAATCCCCAGCACCCTGTGCAGTGGTTAGTGCTCCGCTGTTAGCCAAAAGGTGGTTGTCTTGAACCAGCAGCTCTGTGGGAAAAAGATGTAGCAATCTGATTCTATAGTTTCAGTCTTGAAGACACTATGGGATTTCACCCTGCTCTGTCCTCACAGATTTACTCTGAGTCAGAATCAACTCTGAGCTGTGGTTTTCATTTTCTCACTCCTCATCCTTCTCTCCCAGTGCCTGATGGCTGCCCACACCCATGGCAAGTTTAATAACTGCGTTTAAGACAGCAAAGCTGCCATGATTCAGCAAACATAGGCCCATGGGCTAGCTGGCCCACTCTCTGTCTTTAAAGAGAAAGTTTTACTGAAAGAGGGCGATATGTATGCATTATCAATGGCTTGTTTCACTAAGCGGAGAGGTTACCACAGAGACTTAAGGCCCTTAAAGCTAAGATGTTTACCATCTGTCTTTACAGAAAAGGCCTACTGACCTCTCTCTGCTCTAAATCCCTTAATGATCAAATGAAGCATCACCACCTTGTTGTATGAATAATACTCCATTCTTTACACAAGAAGGAAATAAGCCACTACCATTCTGGGCATAATTCACCCTATTCTCACTGATACATTCTTCATTGGCACGAGAGTAAAATAGGCAGTCCTAGAAAAGTTTCCTGAACTAGAAGGTCTAAATTACAGTTGTTTGTACCATGCAGGTGGACTTCTGCTCACAGAGAACACAGTCTTTCCTTCCCAACCTCTTCTTCCCCCACCGGACCAATGACCTCTATAGGCACTCTGCCTTGGTTGATACCAGGACCAGGTTGAAACCAGAGGCTATTCATCTGACTACATACATGTATCAGGGGCCTCAACAGGTGTCAATAGAATGCAATTTCTGTCCAATTATTTTAATGTCAAAAGGTCATGGTCATGATGATGGTGGTAGAGATTATTCCTGTCTTTACATTATTCAGTGATCATTAGCAATCCACTTTTCCTATTTTAATAACTTAATATCTGTGCTTTGTCAAAAATCAGATATTTTTTATTCACATTTTCTTACCTATGATACTTTCATAATTGATTTTAACTTAAAAATATATAGTGACCCATTTATGTAAAATTTCTTTTTGAATGAGTTTATTAAGATACAAAAAGTTATTTCCATTGAAAAACCCCAACTCCTAATAAAACAGGGTAGATTGTGTGCTGATGGGACAAAAATGGTGGATTGAGACATGTTTTACCTACTACAGCAACAATAATACAAATAGCATGATAATGATGTAGTGATAGATGCATAGACCAATGGGGAAGAACTGAGAACTCAGGAGAAAATCCATCCACACACAAAGAGCTGGTCTTTGACAAAGAGACGGAATCCATTAAATGAAGAAATGTCAACTTCTTTAAGAAACGGTATGGCAAACCTGGATATCTTTTGCAGAAAATAAAATCGAGATCCATACCTCACACCACACACACACACACTAATAGATATTAGTTTCTTTATTATATATAAACTAATAGATATTTGTTTAATATAGATAAACTAGTATATATTTGTTTATTTAATATATATAAACTAATAGATATTAGTTTATACATATAAACTAATAACTATTAGTTTATTATCTATTTAAACTAATTCAAGATTAACTAATTAAAGAACCAAGGGATAAAGTTTAAAACTTTAAAAATCATCCAAGAAAAAGAAATAGGAGCAAACTTAGGAGCTCCAACCTACTGCAAACATCAAATATAATTGAAAATATATATACAGTGGAACATCAGCTAGACTATGGGGGCTTTCTAAGAATGTGATCCTTATGTATAGCAAAATACTTCTCTAAAAAAGGACTTAAAGAATTGCAAGGGGCTCATCTCTAAAATGCATAGAAAACTCCAACAAATCAACAAGGAAAAAAAAATAAAGAGTGGATTAAAAGGGAGCTCTGGTGGCGTAGTGGCAAGAAGCTGTGTTGCAATCCTGAAGGCATGAGGTTCGAATACACCAGATCCTCGGCTGGAGAAGGAGGAGCAATCTCCTCCTGTGCCAATAGGATTCAATTTGATGGTACACAACAACAAAAACCAAAATAAGAGTGAAATAAAAAATGGTCAGAAGACATGAGAAGGTACTTTAAAGAAGACATTCAAATGGTCAACAAACCAATGAAGACGTGTTTGGCTTGTTAGACACATTGGACAGTATTTGGCAATCAAGATCATTGGCTAATGTTGTTACAAGCTACTGGGGAGTGAAATATGCTCATCGCAATTCTATGAACAACAGATCTAAACAAAAATAGCAATGAGATCTCTTCAACAGTGAGATAACAGCACAGTTTCATAGGACAGTAAATAAAAATGCTGGTGACAATCCAGAGAAGTTGGAATGACATTGCTGGTAGGAATATGAAATGGTGAGACCGCTATGAAAACTCCTCTAGTTCTTCCTCAAAAAGTTTAAAACGCAAATGCCATTTGATCCAATAATTCCACTACTAGGTATAGATACTAAGGGGGAAAATGAACTGATAGGTGCACACCCATGTTTACTGC